AAGTACAGAAATGCAGTTGAAATTACAATAAGCAGGGGCCGCCCGGTGGCGCACTGGATAGTGCACTGCTTGGGAAGCGCGGCAGCGCTCCCGTCCGAGGGTTCGGATCCCACGTACAGACCGGCTTCCGCTCACTGGCTGAGCGAGGCGCGGGAGCAACGCCGAGGCTTGCAATCCCGTCGCCGGTCCCCGGTCCGGTACGGGGGCAACACTGAGGGTTGCGATCCGTTGCCGGACACGGAAAAAAGACAAAAAAAAAAAAAGAAATTACAATAAGCAAAGCAGTTGGTATCAAAACAGACAAGCCAGTCGATAAGAACTGAAATCTCTGAAACAGATGCATTTTAAAATGGTAGATAAGTGAAATGGCTGTCTCCATCATTTGGGTAAGGAGCACCATATACAGAAGAAATTGCAGTAGGAATAAATAATTACAACATAAAAAGTAGATCGTAAAAGAAACAGGAGAAAATATAGGGAAACGTTTATATAAACTTGGGAGGGGAGGAACTTCCTAACCATGACACTGAAAGTAACAGCCATAAAAATAAAAAAAAAAAAAATTGTTAGATTTTACTACATAAAATTTTAAAACATTTTCCAATAATAATAATAATAATTTTAAAATAACAAACTGTCATCTGGCCTAGGGAGGTGGGCCAGCTGAGATAACTGTGCCCATTTGACAGATGGATCAACTGAGGCTCAGAGAGGAGAGGTGGTCCACCCACGGCCATACGACCTGCTTCCCTTCCCTGGTGGGGGTGCTTAGTCCTCCCTTGCAAGGCTCTACCACTCAGCAGGCTAAACAGTACAGACCAAAGACCCCATCACTAGCAGTCAGAGAATTCGGTGTCAAATCCCACCCCAGCCACTAAGGGGCTGCATGGCCTTGGCTGGACATTTCCTCTCTCCCAAACTGAGTGTTCTCATTTGTGAAATGGGCACATCACATCCATCTCGGAGGATGCTTGGGACGAGGAAGTAAACTCCTGTGGGTAGGACTCCTGCACTTCATAAGGGCTCAGTAAGTGTGCAGTAAAGAAAGAAACCTGGTTGCCTCTTTGCTTGGTTTCCATGTGCCAAGGAGCAGTTTAGGATGCAGAAACAGTGAAGGCAGGGAGTCAGAAGACCTGGGACTGAGACTCTGCTCTGTCTCTAACACTAATCATATGATTGTTACAGGTTTAATTTAGCAATTGGGTTCTTACTCTGTTCCAGGCACTGTTCTAATCACTTTACATGGATTTTTTCACTTAATCCCTTAAACAGAGGGGAAAGCTGAAATGCAGAGGAGTTAGTGAGCTCACTCAAGGTAAGGCAGAGAGTAAGAGATGGACAACCCAGCAGTTGGGGCCTCAGTTTCCCCATCTGCCGAGGGAGAGGGTTTGACTTAACAATCTTGACAGTCAGGTCCAGCTCAGGCACTGTCTGTTCCCTCCAGCCAGGGTGAGGCACCACCCTGGGCAGGTGGAACACTCACCATCGAAAGTATGACCAGAGCGGGGAAAAAGCCCATCACGACGTAGCACAGCAGCTCCACAAGTTTGTACCTGGGAGGAAGATAAGCCATCTTGGATTCAGGGACATAGTTCAACATGATGAAAACACAAACAGCTCCCCATTTCTAAGTGTGAGGGACACCTGACCAGAAGAGTGAGAAGAGACTCTTCCTCTGTCGAGCACTCCTGGGCTCCAATTTTACTCAGCTACACCCAGTAGGTGCTAGCATCTGTGTGACCTTGGGCAAGTCTCTTTCCTTCTCTGACACTCAGTTTCCACATCTGTAAAATGACATGCTGGAGCTAAAACAAGGATTGCAAATACTGGGCCTAGCATGCACGTGGGCACTCCCAATGCTCAGCCCATGGCAGACATTACTATTCAATCCCAGCATCTTTGCCCACAGGGCCCAAGCAGCCACTCTCAATCTAGCGGGGTTGCTGCATTAACTGAAATCTATTTGCTGTCCTTGAGCTACATGACCTGCAGAGGCCCCACAGGTCCTGAGATTCCAGGAGTCTGTTAATCTCTTTTGCCCTGTTTCTTTCCCCACTTAATCATTCTCGTCCCTGTGGCTCAGCAGGATGGGGGTGCAGAGAGTATGGCTGTCTCAGAGACTCTCCTCCTCATCTGGTGACAGTTTAGGTGACGCATGACCCAGGTCAATGGGTTTGGGAACCTATGATGTCTTTTTGAAAAACTCTTTAGGTTGACTGTATGGGCTGTGGGACCTGGTGTCCGTCCATGGGCCTCAACATTGGGATGCCAGACAGAGCCATGCCCTCATGCTTCTGGGGTCATCCTGGGGTCTCACCTGCCTGGGGCACTAGGGAGGCCCCACTGTAGCATCAAGGGGCACCCACCTACCTGAGACCCCCAGCCCTCCCCGGCTTACCGCTCATGGAAGAAGAAGACATAGATAGTGCCAACAGAGGCCATGATCCAGACCAGCCAGCGCATGTGGGAGGCCCAGGGGCCCAGCTCCCGAAGGTTCAGCCTGGGAGAGAGAAAGCCGAGGTCACAGCCTGAGGGGGGCCCACCAGGACCTAGCCCTCAGTGGCTGGCCTGTCACAGGAACCAACCCCAGAGAAGCCCTGAACCCTATGGCCCTCCACAGGTGGGACATGGGCTTTCATGAGAAGACATGTGGAGAGGCAGAAAGATACAAAAAATTAAATCAGTAAGCAATTATTAGAGGAAAATTAGCAAAATGGATAATGTCCAAGAGTGAAGGTAAGGAGCACCCCAAACTAATAGGAGTACACACAGGTAAAGCCTGTTTGGAAGGCAATTTGGCAGAGTCTAGCAGACTTGGAAGTGCACATTCCCTGTCACTCCAGGTTCAGCAGCTAGCCAAAGAAACATTGTTTTGTACATAAAGACACAAAAACGTTCATTGTGGCATTGGTCACAATAGGAAAAGCCTGAAAATCACTCAAATGGCTACCAAAAGGAGAAGGGGAAACAATGGTATCCGTTTGTGCTGGTTATCAATGCACGGCCTGGTAGCTCTGGTTTTACCCTTTTTGCCTGCTCTGTGATAATACAGTCGGGCCTTGTGAATAGTTTTCCTTTGCAGCAGGTGTAATGTTAAATTTTGGCAGTAGAGGCTCTGGAGAGAATTTGCAAGAGGAAAGGCTCTTCTTTCCTGGTTCCTGTGGTTCTCACCCCAGGCTGCTGGAGACAGCATGCTTTTTCTCCATGGTTCAGTCCAGCAGTTTCTCTGGTGCTAGGTGCCTGCAGTGCACAGCTTTCTCCAGCATCTGGCCTTAGTGTGTTTCCTCCAGCTGTTGCTTAGGTAACAGCTGCACAGACAGTAGCTCCAGGCAGAGCAGGCCTGTGCCCCAGCCTGGGGAGCTGCTCCCTGCACCCTCTCTTCAGCACCACAAACATGCTTGGGGTTCCCATGAGGCTTCCAGTCAACAAGCTGATTGTCTAGCTGCCTAGAGCTGTCCTGACTGAAGTGCACAGAAATGCTCTAGGTCCCTGCAGAGGGGAACTCTCCAACTCTGGGTTCCAGAGGCTTCCCCAGTGTATAACAAGTGCTGAGGCTCCACACCTCCCTGTGGATGGCCTCCCTTGGCACCCTGGGGTGCAGATTTCTGGCAAGTTGCACCAGAAGGCTCTTCATCAACTTCTCTGTCATCCACTGTGCCCAAGGCCCTTCATTTTCAGATGATGTGGGATCTCAGTCCTGAACAGAGGAGGGGCTTTTCCTTGGGCTCTCAACCTCAGCATAGACCCTAGGGGTAGGAGTTGTCCCTTATATCTGCCACAACTGGGTTCTTTACACTGTCTTCAACTTTAATTAGTCAATTCTGCACCACCTCAATCCTCTGTTAATAATTCTCAATATTAAGTTTTCTTTGTTCAAATCACTGTATGTGTTAAATAAAATTATCAGAGGTCATTGTTTTGGACTATGTTCCTGCACGAGGCCCTAACAGACCAGATTCAAAATCAAAATGGAATCACCCCTGCTAAATGCCAAGTCATTTAGGCTGTAGTCTGACTTCTCAGAAGTCAGGAGAAGAGATAACAGCCAATTTCCAAAACCCTAAACAGGCCAGTTTTAATCCTCAATAGGTGTGATAATGAAGTTCCCTCTGCTTTAATCCTTACACAAAATAGACAGCTTGAAGTAACCTCATGTTAAGCAGACAGTTATTTTTCTATCGTTCTGTCTTCCTCCCACCGCCTCACAAGGAAAGTAGCTTTGAAATGACCAAACTACTTCTTGTTCTTTGTTTCTGCCTTCTTCAGCTTTTTTCTGTCTATAAAATTTACCTCCTCTGCTTGGCTCATTGGAACACTTATTCTATTTTATTGAATAATGTTTTGCCTGACAATGAAGCCAACTGAGATCTTTAAATTTGTTGTAATTTTGTTCTTTGACACATGGTTCCTGTCTCCTGACTGTACACTGACTAACACACCATTCTGAGGAATATTCACAGCAGTTTAAAAAATATGAGGATGACCTGTTTGTATCCATGTGCATTGATCTCCAAGATACTAGGTGTTGTGGGGAGTGGAGTGAGCCAAGAAAAACATGACTATATTATTTGTACATATGGAGAGATAAGCGTAAATACACAGAAAAATATCTGAATCCCTTTCCAAGTGGTTCTGTTGGACTGAGCAGGACTGAAGCCATGTTGGGACCTAAAGCCACCTGGCACATTTCAAAAGGACACAGTCTTTTTTCTTGGCATGCATTTCTCTGAGTTCCCTCTTCTCCCATGATTATTTCAATTTGCTCTCTGTTTACTCCTGACCCCACTTCATGTTGCCCTAATTTGGCCTAACCACTGTTTCATCTTCTCCCCTCAGCCCCCGATGTGGGACATGAGGACCTGGGAATAAACTGCCCTAGCACCAAGGGACCAGTACAAAAATAAGTAAGACCTTTTCAATCAGGAAATTGGTCATCGATGCTTTCATGAGGAATGTTTTGATCAAAAAGGGGGAAATAATGTCTTGTTGCTGATTTGGCTACACAAGCAGTTCTCTAAAAATATTCACAGCTTGGGGGAGGGGGGATCTCATGACTTGATTGGATGAGCCATCCTGTTCCTAAACACGGGGTTCATGTAAGTTCTTTAAATGTTGCTGTTCCAGTTGATGTATAGCTTAGTAACTCGGAGTAAGACACCTGTTGTCAAAATCAACTGCTAAGACAATAGATAAACAAATGCCTCTGCCACTCCAGCCGGGTACCAAAAGCTATGTCCTCCATCATGTCAAATAGTTCCATTCCAAGTTAGCCCCTTCTACGCCCCGACTCAGCTCGAAGCACTAAAATAAGTCATCTGTCCTGATGCATAGAAATGAAAGGAACTATTAACTAGGGAAGTTGCTGGAGTGAGCAGGACTGAAGCCATGTTGGGACCTAAAGCCACCTGGCACATTTCAAAAGGACACAGTCTTTTTTCTTGGCATGCATTTCTCTGAGTTCCCTCTTCTCCCATGATTATTTCAATTTGCTCTCTGTTTACTCCTGACCCCACTTCATGTTGCCCTAATTTGGCCTAACCACTGTTTCATCTTCTCCCCTCAGCCCCCCATGTGGGACATGAGGACCTGGGAATAAACTGCCCTAGCACCAAGGGACCAGTACAAAAATAAGTAAGACCTTTTCAATCAGGAAATTGGTCGTCGATGCTTTCATGAGGAATGTTTTGATCAAAAAGGGGGAAATAATGTCTTGTTGCTGATTTGGCTACACAAGCAGTTCTCTAAAAATATTCACAGCTTGGGGGAGGGGGGATCTCATGACTTGATTGGATGAGCCATCCTGTTCCTAAACACGGGGTTCATGTAAGTTCTTTAAATGTTGCTGTTCCAGTTGATGTATAGCTTAGTAACTCGGAGTAAGACACCTGTTGTCAAAATCAACTGCTAAGACAATAGATAAACAAATGCCTCTGCCACTCCAGCCGGGTACCAAAAGCTATGTCCTCCATCATGTCAAATAGTTCCATTCCAAGTTAGCCCCTTCTACGCCCCGACTCAGCTCGAAGCAGTAAAATAAGTCATCTGTCCTGATGCATAGAAATGAAAGGAACTATTAACTAGGGAAGTTGCTGGAGTGAGCAGGACTGAAGCCATGTTGGGATCTGAAACTACCTGGGATGTAGGCAAATTTCAAAAGGACACAGTTTTTCTCTTTGCATACATGTCTCTGAGTTCCCTCTTTTCCCATGGTTGGTTGATATTTTGAACCTTGGTTATGGGGCAATTTGATATTATTTACAGAAGTATAAAGTTGTTTTCCAGCCAGCCTGAAGCTGCACACTTGCATGTACTGAGAAACCAAGGAAGACATTAATAAAGCTGTGCTGATTCCATCCCTCCAGCAGGACCTGAGATAGCAGCAAGGACAGGGGCAGAAACCAGACGGAGTCTCAGTGAGACCTTGCACCTGGTTCCTTGCACGGAGCCCCCACAGCTCACATCCCCCTCCTCCTGCTTTTCATTTCCCACATTCCACTCCCTCAGCCCCCTCTTTAAAAACCCCTCAGTAAATCTGAGTCTTGGAGATGGCCTTAGTCTGGCCTTTCTCCTTCAGGTTTACAAGAGAGACAGGTGACCCTAACATCTCTCCTCAGGTCACCTGGATAAAAGCTGACTTCCATCTTCACCAACATTTGACTTTTGATTGGTTTGTTTCTGAAAGGCAGCCGGACCTGTGCCCCATAACAGTTTTGTCTGGAAATGGACAGTTAATGATGATGGTTATTAGGGAAGAAGTTCCTTTAAGTTTTTTTCTGGAATTAATTTCTTGAATGAGAACGTGTTATATAAAACTTCTGGGGGAAAAAAAGTGACCTGCTCAGAATCCAATTGTCACTACAAATAAGTTAAGTAATACCCAAAAATTTAAAGGTAAAAAAATAATAATCCATCTTCTTGCCTAAATAACCATCAGTGGGCATCACTTCAGATGTCTCTCCAAGCACATATACAAATAGGCCAATGAGTAGAAGGATGAGTATAAAATGGGAGAGAGGGGAAGGCAGAGGAATGGACAGAAGGATGAACTGACATGAAGGAAAGGGGAAAGGGTGAGAATCAAATTATACAGGGTGTTTTTCATTAAAAGCATTACATTTAATTTTAACTTGACTTTAACAGAAGAAAATTCAAACAAAAAATTTTTGCTCAAATTCAAACAAATGCTTCTGTACCATAAAATTCTAAAGTTAAGAAGTTAAATTATGAAAAGCATAAGTTGAATTTCTTTTTTTTTTTTTTTTTTTCTTTTTTTCTGTTTGGCAGCTGACTGGTAAGGGGATAGGAACCCTTGACTTTGGTGTTATAACACTGGGCTCTAGCCAACTGAGCTATCCAGCTAGCCCTGGTTCATTATTTTAAATGGAGTCAATATTCACTACCATTTTCTTTTTTCTTTTTTTCCTTTTTTTTGATGGCTGGCTAGTACAGGGATCCGAACCCATGCCTTTGGTGTTATAAGGCTGCGCTCTAACCAAGTGA